AAGGAGAGATACAGAGAAGCAGGGAGATCATACCAGTAAGGAATGATGCCATATCAGTTTGTCATTGCAAACCTTTCTAAAATGCCAAAGACATTCATTCCTTTTCAAAAAATTGCTTTTATTAGCATGTATTAATTGTATGAAGGTGTTTCTTTGTCATTTTTCCATACACATATATAATGTAATTGATCAAATTCACCCCCTCTATTACTCCTTCTTGTTCCCCCTCACCTTTTAACCAATTTTTAACAGGTTTCATTGCTCTATTTTCATACACACACATGAACTAGACAGCCATATTTTAAACACATGTAAAACCACTGGCTGATTAATAGCAAATCAGTGATTTAGTCTAGTTTGAACAAAGCCTTAGCGTATTATTTCCAAGACATTGAATATGTAGAAAATAATTATTAATATGTAATGAATATTAGTGATATTTTAACTTTTTTGTTAAAACATTGCTCAAAATAGACTAAATCATTGTTTTGATATCAATCCACCCTTTCCTTAAAACAGTGGAAACCCGAGTTCCACTCTAGGTTTCTGGGGGTAATTTAGACATACACCGAGGCTCCACAGTGAACCCCAGTTCGTGGGCCCCAGAGTTAGGCCTCGCAAGTTGTGAAAACCCTTTATTATTTTCTTTTTAAAAGTGTTTTATTAATATATGATGGTTACAAAGGGAATTTCATTCTCACATTTCCTTAAATACAAATATTGTACCCTGGTTTTGATGGCTCCTCTCTTCCTTCCACCTCCTCCACCTCCTCCATCTCCTCCATCTCTGCCTCCTCCTCCTCCTCCATCTCCCACTCCTCCTCTTTCCTTTCTCATTTATTGCCTTAAAAAAGAACACCCTACCTTTACTGAGATATAATTAACAGACTAATAAATTCACCCTTCTAAACAGTTCAATTCACTGACTTTTGGTATGCAAGGATAAAGAAAAATGTCCAACCAAAGTGGACATTTTTTTTCTATCCTCAGCTCAGCACAACACAGATACCCTGCCACCCTGGTCATCCGATTGTGGTGGGGTTTATCGCCACCAGCCAGGCCTGCAGAGGACTTTAGCTGGGCCTCTGATTCAGTTCAGTTGTGACACTGCCCACCTGAGGTAGCAGCAGATCCCCAGAAGCTGATCCCCAGCACTGTCCCCCTTAGGGCCCATTGCACACCCAAGCCTTGGAAACTTCCAACCACACAGCTGCACACTAGGGTCCCCACCATCCCCACCCGGGGTCCATTACTTTGCTCAGTGCTCACAGTACTCAGGGAGACACTCACTACCATTAACTGGTGTATTGTGAGTGCAATAAAGAGACGGACAGGACACGATATGGGGTGCAGCCCCTCCCCACCCCTCTGTGCTCCAACCTTGTGTGGACACTGCCAGTCTCTGGTTTCCAAATGCCTTCTCAGAAACATGTTCTCACCCATTGCTTCGTGGGCTTACTTTTGGTGATATGGGGATTTGAACTCCCTAAGTAGTTTGCTAGGCAGGCACTCCACCACTTGAATCCTGCCCCCAGCTGTTTTGTCACTTTAATTAAATTATCTTAATTAAATATCATCAAATAATTAAAGCTGGCCTTGAACTCAAGATCCTCCTGCCTCAGCCTCCAGAGTACTGGGATTACAGGTGTGCACTACCACACCCAATTGTCAGTTTATTTTAAATAAAAGTTTTAAAGACACACAGTGTATGCATACATATATATGGCAAGGGAGCTGGAGGCATGACTCAAGAGGCCCTGAGTTCAAACCCCAGTACCGCCAAAAAGTTAAAAATGCAAAAATGCATGGGATCAAAACTGGCTGAAGTTTACAGATCTGTATTCAAGACTCTTGAACACTTTGAGCCTATGACGAATAATAGATGCAATATAGCTTTAAAGTAGGTGTGTTTAATCAATGAATTTCCTTTTGGCTGGGGTCTCACTAGGAATTCTAATTTAATCACCACGAACTAGTAGAATGAATCTGTGTCCTTAACTCAATCTCTGGGTGGAGAAGGCGACCGTAAGTGGGCGTGGCCTCTTCAGCATAAATACAGCTGTTTCAGCCCTGGGCCAGTTGTGAGCAGAGCCCACCGGAGGTGCGGGAAGGAGGCAAGGAAGGTAAGCAGCAATGCGTCCCACCTCTCGTCTTCCTCTTTGCATCTTTAAATTAGTGTCTCGGAATTTCAGGAAGGGATTGCATTGTAATATTTGATAATATCCACCCCCTGTTTTTCTTACCCCAAAGGCTGTTTTCTGGCAGTACTGGAGTTTGAACTCAGGGCCTTGTGCTTGCTAGGCAGGCTCTCTACCACTTGGGCCACTCCACCATTCCTTTTTTATGTTGGGTATTATTTGCCTGGCATGACTTCAAACCGCGATCCTCCCGATCTCTGCCTCCGGAGTAGCTAGGATTGCAGGCGTGAGCACATGCCCAAGTTTTTGTTCTTTGCAATCCTGGCCTGGTGCATCATAGACAAGGCCCCACAGAGGCCACCCCGGCCCTGTCCCACTGATGTCGGAGGGTTTGGGGAAGAGGGTGGGTGAGGTTGGCTTCAGAAAGATTTTGTGTTTCGCGGGGTGCGGAGGTGCACGACTGTAATCCCGGCACGCCTATAATCCCGGCACAGTATTCGGGAGGCTGAGGCAGGAGGATCACGAGTTTGAGACCAGCCTGGGTTACAGAGTGAACCCAAATCAAAATAAGGAAATAAAGAAGCAGCCGGATCTCTCGGAAGTGTTGTCCTATCTCTGCAATTTTATTTTCAATTAGCACGTTTAATTCGGAGGTGTGGGGTGTCAGTGAGGCTCACGCACACTAGACGTCGTGTGATGGGATTAACCCAGGACCCCGCTTGCTGGTGCATTAAAAGAGCTTTGGCTTTAAACCTATTTTCTAGCTGGGAGCGGTGGTTCACACCCTAAATCCTTAGCTACGCGAAAAGTGGAGTCTGGGAGGATCAGGTTTGGAGGCCAGCTTGGGCAAAAAGTTGTAGAGACCCCATCTCAACCAATGGCTGTGCAGTTGTGCACCAGCTACGGGGGTCACAAATAGTAGGGCTGTGGTCCAGGGGTCCTTGGCTTAGAGCGAGACCCTATCTCTAAAATAACCTAAATCAAAGGACTCGAGCTCCAGGTCATTAGCACCCCGCCCTACCCAAAATCCATTTTCCGGAATGAGATTATGTTTTGTCCTTTGCTTTTTTTTTTTTTCCTTTTTTACTTTGTGCGTTCTTTTAAAGCAGTTAACTTTATTTTCATTTTATTTCTCTCCTGCTTTTTTTGGGTGCATGGTTCTGGGGCGGCACAGGGCCTTGCACATCAATACGAGCTCTACCACCTGAGCCACCCCTTCAGCCTTTTCTGTGATGGGATGTTTTGGGATCGGAGCTCGTGACCAAGTTGCCTGGGGCTGGCTTCGAACCATGATCCTCCTGATCTCTGCCTCCCGAGTAACTAGGCGCACCCTGTTCTAAGGCTCTTGATCCTCCTGCCCCCATCTTCTGAGGGCTGGGATTGCAGGAGGGAACCACCACACCCGGCTTTAAAAACACTTTGTGAGGCTGACCTTACTGTGTAACCCCGGCTGGCCTCAAGCTTTCGGTCCTCCTGCCTCAACATCCCTAACAGGTAGGATTACCAGCGGCGTCCCCACGCCCGGCTCTGGGTTGAGGTTAGTACAGGGAAATCCCTAGGCACAGAAGGCCGCTGATTGGCTGCCGGGCCGGGGGCGGGGCTGGGGCGGGGCCACGGAGCTCCTGCTGCGCAAGCGCAGTTTCCTTTTGGGAGGTCAAGCTCTGGACCGCGGTGACGTGTAAGTGAATGGACCGTGAGTGGGGTTCGTTCTTTCTGCGCTGGGAGTTGAACCCGGGGACTCACCCGTGCAGGTGTGCGCTACACTGAGCTGCGCCCATGCACGCAGAGGTTCTTACTCACAGAACGGGTTACTTTTAAAAGAGGTAAAGTGATGACTCTGAGTTTAGTACAACGAAGCACAATCGCACAATTCTCTTACAATTCTGTGCCGTCTGTTTCTGGAGCAAATAAACATTGGGTCAACAGAGATGTGTGGGGGACATTTTAGGTGACTGTCCAACGATGCTCACCACAAAGGGATTTCCAGGTTGTAAATATTTTCTTCCATCCTTCTGCATAATTGTCACTGACAGTGTTTTTATCATTCCTATCGATTTTTTGTTTTGTTTTGCTGAGATTACAGATGTGCTCCCACCAAACCCATCTTAGGTCTCTTCTAATTTTTTTTTTTATTTTTGGAGACAAGGTCTTAGTATGTAGCTCAGGCTGACTTCATACTTCCCATTGTCTTTCTTCAGCCTCCTGAGTTCTGGGATTATAGATATGGTTCACCATGCACAGCTTTTGTGTGTTGCTGAGGATTGAACCCATGTCCTCGTGCATGCTAGGCAATGCTCTACCACCGAGCTACAAGGCCAGCCCTGGGTCTCATCCTGATGGAAAGATAATAAGAACTGACATAATTATAGCAAAAGATTTTAGGAGCTTCATATAATTATCCTATTTGACTTACAGTCAAGAAAAGCACTGCCCCTATTTACAGATGGGAAAACTGATCCCACGTTTGCATATTGAGGTCAATTCAGGGGCCATTCACACATTCAAATCAGTCTTTACAGTGACAGGGATGTTGGAAGAATGATGGAATGGATTAATGTCTGCTGCACTAAACACACTCAGTGTGTGAGTGTGGGGTGTCTGTTATCAGAAGTGAGGGAAGTTAGAAAGGAGTAAGAAATTAAACTTTTCTGCCTCATTCTTTCCCCCAGGCTTCGGAATAAAGAGCAAATATCCAAGACATTACTGCCTTGTTATGGTTTTGTTTTTCTGCAATACCAAGGGTTGAACCCAGGCCGTGTGCACACCAGACCCATACCCCCAGCCAAAGAGTGAATCTGTCACTGAGGAGGACAGGAGTCACTGTTTAGACAGGTGTCACTTAGTCACCGGCTTCTAGAAGGGATGGACCGTTCTCCACTGCCTATGGCTACAGATATGAGTTTTCCAACAGATGGACGACGGCCCCAGCATCGCCTCAGATTGGAGCAGCCACCATGGTCAACCTCTCAAGAAAGCCACTCAGGAATACAAGACTGTGACTGTGAATTTTGGCATGTGAACTTCAGGGGGTTCACTCCCTCAGAGGGGTCAGACCCCATCCAGAATCTGAGGACACTGTCATATTTGGGCCATATGTGGCTGAGGCCCGACAAGCACACGAAAGAAGAGATCATGGACCTGCTGGTGTTGGAGCAGTTCATGGTCTCCATGCCCGAGGACCTCCAGGCCTTGGTGAAGGAGAGTGGGGTGAGGAGTTGCCAGGCCCTGGAGGACATGCTGCGAAGGAACAGGAGGCCCCAGAAATGGGTGAGTGGGACTTGGCCCTGGGCGTAGGGAGGGAGTCCAGCGCGGGCTACCAGGTGCGATTGCACCGAAATGGAGAAAGGGGCTTGTCCTCTGCCACTGGCTCTTACCTGGAGGAGAGTTTGCCTTCAAGGCACACCTGGCAATGTTGAGGACAGTTTTTGGTCTTCACAATGGGGAAGAGGGAGGCCACCTGCATTTGATGGATGGAGACCAGAGGTACTCCAGACATCCTAAAATGCATGGGACAGCCCACAACAGAGCTGTCCAATCCCATGGAGCCAGTGTGTAAGGTTAAGAAACTCTAGTCTATGTCCATATATCAGGCAAAGTTGTCATGAGTCATGGTCTCCAACCATAATCCAACATTTCAGCCATCCCACCATGCTGGCTCCTAACCTCCACCAGATACCCAGCACCCTTGAGAAAATGTCCCTCCTGTGGACACAAGACACACATGTCCAGGCTTCCCTCTTTTCCTTGGTTCAAACAAGAGGTGGCTCTTAGGCTCACCTTTCTATGAGAGGGGGCCTTGCACCCTGTGACCCCAGTTTCTGTAGCGTTTGCCAGGGATAGGTGCGCTGGGGAGGGATCTCAAAGCACAAGTTGAAGGCAAATGTGTCTGGATATGTATGTGGTTATTATGCCTTGAGAGGGACATGAAGAGTGAGTTTAAATTAGAAATGGCGCTAGGCATCCTATAATGCACAGGGATCCCCCAACACCCCGCACCCAGAATTGTCTGGTCTAGAATATCAATTGTGCTGAGATAGAGAATCCCTGGTTTAGGGGCGGAGAGTCCAGAGGAACACAGAGACCCTTGAAGTGTGTACAGGCAGCATGGTGAGCGTGAGGCCTGGTGGGAGGTGGGGAGTGAACTGTAGGATGAATGGAAGGAGGCTCCAAGAGTCCCCACACAGGAGTTCAAACGGTTGGCACCTTAAATGCAATGGGCGCCTCCAAATTCTCACAGCCCAAGAGTGAGGCCAGCTGCCACTGACAAATTGTTAGGGATTTGCAAAAACATTTCTACCTTTTTCTTCTTGACATTGGGGAGCAACTCATCCAAATGATAACATGTTTCTGTAGCTGGTAAAATATTCCTGACCTTAAGTAGGCTCTGGAGATTATAGAGGGAAACAATTGAGATAGGATTGCTGTATGGCCAGAGCGAATTAGGATTGCTGCATGGTCAGCTAATTCTGTATCCAGGAAGACAGATTTTTGGCAAATAGCTACAGTAATGTTTGAGTATGGCACCAGGACGCAGAGTGGGGGGTGGGAGAGCCACAGTGAGGCTCTTCCGGGGTGTCTGATCATGTTCTCCACCCCCACAGTCTGTAATTGTCTCACAAGGGCAGACATTTCTTGTGCGCGATTCAGCTAGTCAGATGACCAGCGCCAAGGCCAGGGAGATGGATGATGTGATAGACTTGACCAACTCTGACAGCAAGAAACACCTCAAGAGAGGCCCGATCAGCCCACAGCTCCAGAACCTGCCAGGGAATGGGGAGACATCCAGCTACCAGGTGAGTGCCCACCGGGGCAGAGGTGAGAGAAGGTAGGACAGGAAACTGGAGCCCTTGAGGGATTTGACCTAGGATGGGATCAGAGCCATTGGCCATGGGTTCCATATTGCTAGACATGGTAGAGAAGAAAGACATCCCCAGCTTTATCCCTCTTCCCACTAATGCTCTTAGCATTGAGGGTGTGGAGAATGAAGCAGACTTAATGAAATAGAGTTGGGCGAATTTGCCACAGATGGATGAACCAGAAAGTATATTTCCCCATAGCCAGTTTCATCAAAGTCAATGTCATGATATCATTTGCCACAGGACCAATGTTCTGAAATTTGTGACTCCTTATTTGAAGGAATGGTTCTTACCTGGAGTGGTTTTACCTTCGTGGGGTCATTTGGCACTGTCTGGATGTTTTTGACTTTTCATTTTAGCAGGTGGTATTCATGGCCTGAGTGTTAATAGCATCCAGTAGGTGGAGGCCAGGGACATTGCCTCACATCCCAATGTGTAGCAGAGCAGAGCCCCAAATGTCACCCGGCCCAAAATGTCAGCAGTGCTACCATTGAGTCATTTTGCTTTTAGAGTCAGTGGAGAATTGTGCTTAGAGAATTAAAGAAGTAACAACTCACGTGGGGTGTGGGACTTGGTGTAGAGCTGGGCTGGCTACAGGTTAATGACAGGCTTGGACACTAGGTGAGGAGCTTATTTGGATGACAGAGTGGCCCATAGGAAGTCTGGACATCTCCACAAGACTTGGAAAAGTCCATACATCCTATCGGGAAGAGACCGATTTCCATAACCACCCAATGTAGACGTGTTCCTAATCCTGCTCGGTTGCTTTCTGTCAGGAAGAGGATGTCCTCCATGTGACTATTCCCGAAAAAGGAGACCTGGATTGTCTGAGACCCAAACAGAGCTCAGAGAAGAATCAGATGGAAGATGGGGAGGAGGAAAGAGCATTTCCATTTCCCGAGCCTCAGCGTCCTGAGCATCCTGGTAAGTCCCAGGCTGGGGACCCCAGGGGATGGTGTGACTCTTGTCCAGGGTCACTGGCTCTGTGGGGCGTTGGCTCCCATGGCCCAGAGTCTCCATCACCAGCTTCCCAGAGTGTCCTCCACGCCCGCCTCTCAGGCCTGTGGGGATGACGGGAGGTTCTCAGACCACAACAATGTGTAGATCACGAGTTTGACTCACTGAAATTCTCTTTGTTAAATGCTGTGTGTGGAATCCCTTCTTCCAGCAGGTTCTGTGGGAGAAGAGGAGGGGGAGATGTGCACTGGCATAACTTCCTCCCACGTCCTGGAGAAAGAAGATTCACCTGGGACCTGCAGATATCCTCAGAGATCCAAAAGAAGATCAGACAGCACCAACATGTCCCAGGAAGGGTCTCAAGGAGGGGCCAGGTATGTGGAGGTTGGAGAATTCTCACAAGTCAAGGTAGAGTCAGGAGACCCACCACGTACTGTGCAGCCAGTCGAGCGTCCTGGTGGCCAGGGAGCTGCAGGAGTGGCGTCATTTGGATGTGGCGTGTGCAACAAGCACTTTCAATACAAGTCTCAGTTCCTGGTGCACCAGAGGACACACACAGGAGAAAGACCCTTCAGATGCACCTCCTGTCAGAAGGGCTTCATGCAGCCCTCGGATCTCCGTGTCCACCAGCGCATCCACACTGGTGAGAAACCATACAAGTGCAGAGTCTGCCACAAAGTGTTCACCCACGAGTCCACCCTACTCGCCCACCGGAGGGTCCACACGCAGGAGAAGCCATATGAATGTGAAGACTGCAAGAAACGCTTCAGCCACAAGGGGAACCTGAATGTCCACCGTCGCATCCACACCAACTCGAGACCCTACGAGTGCCCCGAGTGTGGCCATGCCTTCCGTCAGCTGGGGACTTTCAAAAGGCACCTGAAGGTGCACTCAGGGAAGACGTCTGGGTGATCACTCGTCAGGCCCAAGGAAGAAATTGATGGTGCACAGTGCAATGACACAGCTGGAAAAGGACTCATGGGGTTTCCAGAAGACACGGGAGTTCATTGCCAGAGTCTGTGGATAATGGCTTATCTTCTCAGACTTGTTTTCTCTGTCAGGGTCTCATGATTTGCAACAGGTTTTCTTACTTTTCATTTTTCTTTCCTTCCTTCCTTTTCCTCCCTTTCTCCCTCCCTCCCTTCTTCCCTCCCTGCCTTCCTTCCTTCCTTTTTGTGATGCCACTGCCAGGCTCACCTTGAGCTGGATGTGTGGCAAATTTAAACTGCATGTATGGCCCAGGCTGGCCTTGAACTCGGGATCCTCCTTCCTAACTCACTGGAGTACTGGGACTAAGGCACGTGCCCACATGCCTGGCTTCCCTTATTTCTTGGTTTGCATGGCTGTCCTCCCAGTTAACCTGAGCCTCAGGTTTTCAGTATTTCATAATGAAATGGAGACTGCTCGCAGGCCCGATTCCCCGTCTTGTCCTTACATGGGGACGGACATGAACAGAGCTGTAGCAATAGGCTGCGTGTCTCCCCTTAAGCCTAATGTCTCAATGAGCGTTGAGTATCAGGTAGAGTATGAATGATCCAGAGCATACTTCGTGCTAGACGTAATTGGAGCTGTTTGTAGTGGTAGACACCTGTAATCCCACTAGGTGGCAGGCAGAGGCAGGAGGACCTTGAGTTCAAAGTTAGACTGGGCTACACAGTAAGACCAGTCTTAAAAAAACCCCAAGAAAAAGAAATTGAAAAAAAAAAGTCCTCTACTCTCTCCAAAAACAACAAAACAAGAATAACCCAAAAAAGGTGAACTTGTTCACCTGGAATGTCAGTTACCCCCGGGAACACTGAAATCTTGGGAAGAGAACAGGATGAGGCCCCCAGGAAGAGTTACCTGGGGTCACAGACATTAACGAAAGCATTTTTCCCCTAGGACGACAGGAAAGGGAGCTGAGTTGAGAGAAATGGAGCTGAGAACTCGGGTTTTATTTGTAACAAATTCTAGGGTAAACTGTTAAGCCATTTTATTATTGCTCCCAATGACAGTATTTTAAGACTCAGAAAGAGAAACTAAAAAAAATAGAGATGAAAATGGAAGAATTATCTGAATGATTAAATTGTTCAAAAAACAGGTAGAATATCAAAGAAGAAGAGACTCTGATGTTTCAGCAGATGTTAGCATGGATACGACATAGAGGGACAGGAATGTGTTCTATCAGTCCTCCATCCTCACGGCAGTCATGGCCAGGGAATGCCCAGAACAGCTGTGACAGGACAACAAGAAATTCAAATGAACATATTTTAAATCAAAGCAAGTATCTGGCCACATTTAAAACAACTCTCAATTGTCAAAACTGGGGTAAGAAATTTTAACTGTCTAACCACAGCCCACATAGGACATTTTGAGAGATTTTATTATTCACAAAGTATTATGTCAGAAAAGATTCTAGATGTTAGGTAATTTCCCTGAAACATTCACTATTTTGCCTACTGCAAATGACATCAATGTTCAATGTTTAATAATATCACCTTAGATGGTCGAAATTGAAAGATACCTTGGGGGAAAAATTGGATGATTCGGAAGAGACTATGAAAATGAGAGGAAAGATTTCTGTGCTATTGTGGTGTAATAGATTTTATTTTTGTCTAATCCATTCTGATTTTCAAAAGTGTTTAATAACATGAAAAAAAAACAGGTCAATGTTACAGGATTAACCACGGAAATTCTCTTCACTTGGCAAGAACGACAGCGACCAGTGTGGAATAAAATTTTCTTAGAATGTAAATTTTAGTGCCAGGTGGAAATTACTTGAGCTGAACCACAAACTTGTGTAGTTAAACTTGTAGTGTCTGCAGTGGAAGGAAACATATAGGACAAGGTGAGCTCTCCAGTAGCCAGGGCCACCTAAGAGCAGGTTTTGATAGTTTCTATGTTCTGGTTGACTTGTAGGAGCTCTTTACATGTTGTGAATATTAACACTTACCACAGGGCAAATATTTCCCCATCCCACAGGTTGCATTTCACTATTGATTAGATTCTTTGAAGCACCGATTCTTCTTAGTTTTATTTATGTTGAATTGAGCTGCAGTAAGTAATGTGTTTTGACACTGTGTAGATCTGAGAAGCCAATGTCATAATCAAAATAATAATTCCCACCCTTCTCAATGTCTCTGCTGTTCCCTCCTCAGCCAACCACTCACCTGCTCTCTGTCACTGCACTTTCCTTCACAGAGTTTTGACTTTGAGGTCTCACCACCTTCCCCTTTGCCAACACTATGTTATCTGATTGTACAGAGGTGACATGCTATCTCTATTTGCCAGTGGGCATTTGAGCTGTAAGGTGACTTTTTACAAAGCTGATGTAGCACTGCACCTTTGCTCAAATAAAATGTTTCAATCTCTGCAGTTTAAAGTGTTTTTATCCTGAGTCCTGTTTTTCTTTTTTTGTGGGCACTGTTTTCCCCCAAGGAACTTCAGAAACTACTTAACAATTTCGATTTGAATATCTCATTAAAACCCACTGAGAGATGTCTTTTATTACTTTTTTTGTGTGTGGTACTGTGGTTTGAATTAAGGGCCTTGCACTTGCTGGTGAGGTGCTCTACCACTTGAACCATGCCCTCAACCCTTCTTTTATTACAGTAAATTGTAAAAAGGGCTTCACTGGGCTATTTCCATGCATATAATGTATTTCCACTTGCAATAAATTTAAGCTTTGCTTGCTTCGTCCGTGTGGCTTCCCCAGTTTAGAGGCACCCAGACACCACACACACACACACACACACACACACGGTACAGTAGGAGGCACATGTGGACTGGGCTTTGTGGCACCCTAAGACTGATGGTGTCCCCAGGGTGATAGCCAGAATCTCACCATCAGATGAGGCTATGAAAGAGAAGGGAACCGTGATGACCAGCATGCAGCCACCAACATGTGAGCCTCAAAACCTGGTGTTGGCACCCAACAGGCTCAGCAGAGGAGCTCAAGGTGCAAGGGTAAGTGAAGTCTCAGTGTGTCTACATACACACCCCTTTTCCTGTGTCTACACCCATTTCTATAACCACATTAAAATTAATGGCTGTATTATCTTTTTTTTTGTGGTACTGGGATTTGAACTCAGGGCCTCCTGCTTGCCAAGCAGACACTCTACCAATTGAGCCACTTCACCAGCCCAGTATTATTATCTGTATCTATTTAGACATATATAGAAAGGGAGCCAGACAAGCGAGCTAAGGAGGATAGGAGAGAGAGGGAGGAAGGGGGCATTGGATGGAGGGGCAGGAAGAGATGAAGTTAACGGAGAGAGGAGAGGAAGAGAGAGAAAAGCATAGTGTCTGTGGCGTTAACTCATCCTTACTGGCTTTATTACCTAGCTTACTTTTGCCTTAATTTTGTGTGTGTGAAACGCAGGCTCCAGTCTACCACCTCATAATTTTGTCTTGTAGTTTGGGCTACAGTTCCTAAAGTCCTTATAGAGATGCTTAGCACAAAAAACTATGTGACACAGTGACAACAAAAACCAACGTCTCACATTGGGTTGGGGTCAAAACACCTTCAAATTCCATGGCAGACCCTCTTATTTATTTAATCCTCACAGTGATCATATTGGTTCCATCTTTTGCCATATATCAGAGTTTGGCAAACCAAAGCGTGCTATCTAAAAAATAATTTTTACATTTTCACATCGTTTTTTAAAAATCAGAAGAAGAATATTTTGTGACATAAGGACATCATGTAAAATTCAACATCAGTGTCCCTGGAGCATGGCCACCCCACTCCCTTCTTGTTTAACCTGTGGCTACTCTCTCGCAACAGTGGCAGAAGTAGAGGCTGAGCAGGAAATGGTCACCACCTGGTCCTTCAGAAAAAGTGCCGGCAGGGGGGGAGGAAAGGGAAGGGAGAGGGAGAGAAGGAAGAGGGGAGAGAGAGAAGGGAAGGGGGAAAGGGAGGAAGGGAGCAAGGGAGGAAGGAAGGAAGTGCGTGGCGGGGAGCGAGTTGGAGGCGCAGGGCGCGGGTACCTGGCGTTCACGGTGCCATAGAAGAGCCCTACGACGGCCAGGTGGGAGCCACAGGTGGACAGGGCCTTGAGAAGGCAGTTTGCGCACGGCCACCAGGATCCAGACGCAGGAGAGAGGATGAGGGCCATGTCGGGCGCAGGTGCCCACATACAGCTGTGCCGTCGCCCAGCACGGTGTCCAGGGAGGCCAGTAGGGGACGCGGCGCCCACAGCCCCAGCAGCACGAAGTCCCCGGTGTCCTACTCTTTGCGGCAGGCGGGCCCATCCTGGGGACAGGAGGGGACGGGGTCACTGCAGCCAGGAGCAGCTGACCCTTTCTCTCCATGCTTTTTTTGTTTTGCGTGGGGTTTTTTTGTTTTTGTTTTTGTTTTTGTTTTTTGTGGTGGCGGTTCTGGGGTTTGAACCCAGGGCCTTGCATTTGCTAGGAAGGCACTCTATTTTTTCAGATAGGGTCTTTCGTTTCTTGCAGAGGCTGGCCTTGGACTGCAATTTTCCTACCTCTGCCTCCTGCTGAGCTGGGTTAACAGGCATGAGCCACCTCCACCTCATCTGTCTTTTTTTTTTTTTTTTTTTTTTTTTGAGCCCGGGTCCCTTTTGCTATGTAGCCCAGGCTGGCCTGGAACTCATGATCCTCCTGCCTCCATCTCCTGGGTGCTGGGATTACCAGAAGACACCACCACATCTGGCTCCTCTCTGCTAGTTAATCACCTCTTCCCCTCCCTCCTTTTTTCTTTTTTTGTGGTACTAAGCTCGAATCAGAACTTACCTTAAGCGGCTTTTTCATGATGGTTTTTTCAATATAGGGGCTCACAAACTATTTGCCTGAGCTGATTTCTAACCAAGATTTTCCCAGTCTGTGCCTCCTGAGTAGCTGGGATTACAGATGTGAGCCACCAATGCCTGGGCTTGCTTTTATTTATTTATTTATTTATTTATTTATTTATT